AATGCTGTGCCACAGCCTGCCAGGAAAAAAAACTATATTTCAGTACTCTTCATATTCTTTTGGGCAATATTCATTAGGTCTGAGCAGCTCTGTGGCTACCAAGTATCATAAAGACTATATATAACAGACAACATGAAATGAAGAAGAGATGTGAATAAAAATATTAATAAAAAAACAACTAAAATAAGAGATCATCATTGGCTGCAGCAAAATGACTTTCAAAATGTAAGATTTTAGATTCTGTCTAATTTGTCTTCATCCAGAGTTTACAATGTTGCAAGGCCATTAATTACTGTGTTAATCAATCAAGTGTTAATCAACATTTAAGCCTTTTCTTGCCTTCTGTTCCAACCTAAAATTGAGGCAGAACAACCAGAGAACATGTTCAAAAAGACAAATAATAAAATCCCCAAAAATGGTACGAAAAGACCTTATAGGACTTTGCTGTCGCTTGTGTACTGAATCTTTGACCTAATGAAAAGAATGAGCATGCAAATGTGCCTCTCTTAAGAAAACAGAAGGAGACCAAAATAAATTGATCACAAAGCAAAAATACTCCGTATCTGATTGAGTCTCTTGCAGAATATAGCTGTTTCATGTCTCTTTTGTCTGAGTTGCGGCAGCAGGTTGAGCGGAGGCTGTCAACACATCTGTAACCATGGAGAAGTGTTTTTAGAAGCTGTCTAAGCCTCCTTTACCCCAGAAAGCTGTCAGACAACGGTGAACAGCAAACACCCGGAATATGAAGACCATGAGTCACTGTTATTACATATGGAAATGCTGTTTGTTTGTTTGTTTGTTCTAACACATTTCCGAATAAATGGAACTATAAACATGGTGCACTTGACATATGTATTTAGAAAACAGGCTACTACCGATCGAAGTAGATGACATTCTCGCTTATTATTTTCCGATTTACTTCAAGTAAAGCTTTTGCAAGGCACGTGCCTTACAAAGGGACTCTGGTAATCCCTGTGATCATTGGAGCAGGTCAGACAGTGAAAGAGCTGCTTTGTTATTTCTGCTGTGCTTGGCGAGCTCCATCCCCAGCGGAGCGCATCTATCTCATGACGGTGAGGAGGGCCCCGAGTGGAGTTATCGACGCAGATATCGCGACATTTCCATCTCACCAAAGCGCTCGCGGTGTCGGTGGCGACGGCGGAAGAATATCTCAACAGGTGCTAAGGTAATAGCCAGATCTTCCTCTAATCGGGGACCATCTTTTATCCGTTCCGTCCTTTTCAAAGTTCATCAATTAGGCCCCTGCCACCGAAAACATTAACTTAATGAACCGTTTCTGTAACGAGAATATTGCTTCCCTTTTCCCAAATTAATGAGGCCGCTAATTGTCCTAATTTGTGTCTGAAACCCGGGCATTAAGCTTTCTCTATGTGCTCACTAGAACCACCTCCGTAGCTTCGGGTGGGAGAGGATAATTACAGACCGTGGACTGCTTCCAACATGAAGAGCTTCTCTGTTCCTGGAGCACGCTTGTGTTGTTTCTTTAAACAGTCTTTTGTAAAAAGGAAATTAAAGAGCCTTTAAACTAAACTTAAGACAAAAGTAAGGCAGACAAAGAATACAATACTCGGTCTATTTGATAGTTACTGATACAGATGAAAGGTTGGACTGATGGGAGCAGAACATTTAAAATGTGAAAAACACTGTTCAGAATACCTGTAGTTGATGTGAAGCATGCAACAAGAATACAATCTGTTTTGTAGTTTGATCATATCTATGAAGCTAGACAAACTAACCATTATGTTTCAGCTACTTCTGTAACTTTCAGGGAGTATTCAAATAGGTTTCCATGTCCACAGTTTCTCTTTGAGTCATCAAAAATAAACTTGTCACTGGTCAACCAGTAGTGAAACTGTAATAGGTTGGTATTTCCTGTGGTGTTTGAATAAAGCATGCAGACTCTTTCAAACTAAAGCCTCAAAAATAGTGCTGAATTTATTATAGATTGCTTGAGGCCACGTGGCTCCTCGGGGGTATACTGAGAGGGTTTGAAGGTGCCCCTTGAGAAACATTAGCGCTGTTTAGTATAGCAGACATGTACACAGCCAAACAGTGTATTATAATTGGATTTACTCTCAAATATCTCCTTAACCAGGTCAAGAGTGACACACACACTCCCACTGTTTACATTAATCAAACAAAACGAACTGGTTAGGGGGGCATTTGCGCTTTCCAATTGCAGCCGATGGCGACCTCAGCAACTTAGGTAGCAGCTGAACAGCAGCCGAGGGACTTTGTGTCAACTCAAGCGGGTGCTGCTGCGGCCGGCTGTTTGGGGTTTGAATAGTTAAGACTCAGGAAATGAAGCGCTGGGACCCGTGCCAGTTTTCATCACAAACATGGCGGGGCAGCAGCAGTCGTCTGTGGTTCCGCGGCTGCCAAGTTGTGACACACTGCGAGGCCATTGGCAGACAACTGAGTTGTGAAACTGCTGAGGCAATTTGTGCAATCAGGTTGGTTTTTACTGCGTCCGAATAACGTTATTAGTATGCTGGCGTCTCTGGTCGGGCCAAATTGGTGGAGTTTGATCTTGTTTCTAGCTGGGATGTGTGAGCTATGCTTTGCATAAAATGATTGAGACACGTGTGAGAAACAGCACAGCGCTGAAGATTTAAAGTGGGACACAACTGTAAATGGAATTGTTTGGCTTCCTTCACACGTTCGATTATGAAACTCTTTTTTATTCACAACAAAAATGATTTAGATGGAGAATTGCCAAGAAAATTAAACACAGACTTATAAAAACTTCTGTATAACATTCATAAAGAGGAAACTGTTAAATATAAAGTGGAACCAAAGTGCTTTGGAAAAATGAAGGCTTCTTTATAATTCAATTAAATCAAGTCGATGAAGCAATGAGTGCAAGCTCTGTTTTAATGTTTTTGTTAGAAAAAGTATACTTACAACTTTATGCAGGTCTTCATTCATTCATTCAACATCCTATATCAATCATGTTCTTAGATTTGCTGTTATAATAATAGAATCCTATCACCTTTACTATATATAGTTATAATACATTCATGCATTTATTAATTCTATAATAGTGTGAGCAGCTATTCTACGGTTTCATATTGTTGTTATATTTAATGTTCAAGCCAACCAGACGATGACAGCATCAGTTCCTGCGAGACACAGTGATTCATCATCAGTAAGACGCACAGTAACTATTAATGGGCGAAAATACATCGCGATTACCCATGGAGCAGTATAGCTTAACGCCCCCCCCCCCCCCCCTCTCTCAGACTGTCTGTGTGAGGGTCAGTGGAAGCTGACCTCCGAAATGTTCATCACACCTCCTCACCGCGCGCGGCCACTCCTCCGCTCACGCCCCGCGCCAGATGGGAGATGCGGCCGCGCTTCTCAGAGGCTGCGCGCAGGGCTGCAGGCTGTTGCGCTGCCAGCGGAGTTGAAGGAATGAAATATTCATGCATCCACCAAAGAAGGGGGGGGGAAAAAAGAAAAAGGAAAAGAATGGACACCCCAGGACGAAGAACGTGCCGATTTATTCAACTAAGACCGAGCCTCATTAAACTGCTGGCGGCGGTGCGGGTCACGGTGATTTTTTCTTTACCAGTGCACGACCCCGACTGCGACTGCTCAAACACACACACGCACACACACACACACAGACACACACTCATAAACGCACAGAAGCAGTCACAGGGAAAGAGACAGTTGATGCACGGGTGGATGTGATGTGTAGCACCTATCAGATCTCCCAGCGGAGGGACGCTGGGGCTGGGGCTGGGGCCACTCTTCTTCTGTAATTGATGCCGTAATGAGTGATCAGCTCTTGGGTGTCAGCCCCAGAGCCCGGTGCTGCTGGTGGTGCTGGTGCGGGTGGTGCTGGTGGTGGAGGTGGTGGGCGGCATATGGCAGGCGGGGCCGCGCTGTCTGCGGCGGAGCTGCGCGGCTCGTGTGAGGTGCCAGGGGACAGCAGCCGATAGGCAAAGTGCGAGGGGCCACGCAGGCTGAATTCTAATTTGTCGCCTAATTTATCTTACCTTCGTTCGGTCCCAGAGACAGAGGAGACCACATCCATCTTGGAATTAGACCAACACTGAGAAGATGAGGAATAAATCTTTGATAGTCTCTTCTTTTTTCTTTTTCTTTTTTTTTAGGGCTAATGGCTTATCCGTGTTTTCCTCCCTCTCGCTAAATGATTCATAAATCGCCGGGAGACAAACTTATCAGTTATCATGGCTCTGTTATAGACAGGTGTGTCTCAAGCCCAGTCTCCCACCTGTTCGTTTTATGATGCTCCTGCAAATAATCAGGGGCAGATCTGCCATCGTTTACTGCTTGTTTGAGAACCAACTTGTGCTGCCAAATCTCTCAGGGGTCAGAGCTGATTAAGAAGTCAGTTACTTCTCTCACTAGAAAAAAAGTCCAAAATCATTTCACACCTTACTCGAATAATTATGAACCATTAAAAATCTTCCCGGTAGAAAATAGGCCGTGGACATGAATTAATCAAGTTGAGGAAACTCAAGTTCAGAGGCTGATGTGAAATGAAGTGCTCCTCCGCCAATTACTGTACGGCCTTATTTGTTCACGGAATAAACTGTTGATCGATCAGTCCGGCCTAAAACTGGATTTTGGTTTAATTTATTCATTCATCCCAGCTCTCTGTCCCGGAGCTTTCCAAACACTCAGCGCGCCCATGGCTCTTAAATGATTAATACCCCGACTCCCCTCTGAGTGAGGATAAAAACAAGGTCGTGATTGAGTTACAATACACAATAGGAGAAGAAAAGTCGAGCTTTGTGTGATTGTTCTGGGACAGGGTCAGAGGCTGCTGTGCTGTCAGAAGAGTCTCTGGGCTGGGAGTGACAGCAAGGTGACTGGGAGAGGGGGGCTCTATAAAATGCGGGCGCGGTGCGAAGTTTCCTTCAGACAACTAGAGCGCGTCAGCCCGGAGCCCTGTGCGCGACCTTTTTCTCTGCAAAGAGCACGGAGCGCGGGCCTGTCGGGGGGAGATGGCAGCGAAAGCGGAGCTGGCCAACTGGACAGAGTACCCGGACGAGTTCGGCGCGCTGCAGCCGCGCAACTTGGCGCACATCCACTCCAAAGCCTGGATTTCGTCTAGCTCGATCCGCGCGTTCTCCAGGACGCACGCGGCGACTGCGGACGTGTGCAAGCTCCACGAGCGCGTGCCCCCCGCGGAGATGGGCGACGGGGGCAAGGCCGGCGGCTTCGGCCCGCAGAGGCACAGGCGCGTGGCGGCCAACGCCAGGGAGAGGAGGAGGATGCACGGCCTCAACAAAGCCTTCGACGAGCTGAGGAGCGTCATCCCGTCCCTCGAGAACGAGAAAAAGTTGTCCAAGTACGACACCCTGCAAATGGCGCAGATCTACATCACGGAGCTGTCCGAGCTCTTGTCCGGCGTGGTGCGCCCCGAGTGCCGGAGCCCCCACGCGGGTTCCGAGGAGATGACCCCCAGGAGGACCTTGATCCACTCTCTCCGGCCAGCAGGCGACGGCCAGCTGCTGACCGGAGAGCAGCAGCGAGACGCGGCCTCTTCCAATCCGCTGATCATACTCGGACCTGCATCCAACCTGGACAACAGACCCGGAGGGTCTTCCCACTGCAGCGATGGGGAATCCTCCCATCTCAGCGACCTGGAGGACGGTCAGATTGGGAGACAGCTGGCAGAGAACGATTACTAGTGACCTCTCACCTGTTGCCAGATGTTTGACTATAAACATGTCTGAGGGTACCATGCATTTTCACGGTCACGGTTTGATAGAGTAGATGTTTTACTGACTCATGAAAAAGTAACTCATTTCCATCCTCAGAGATCTTGCTGTGGCTTTTAATAGCCAAACAAACTCTAAAAGGCCTTTTTAAATGCACTTTAAGGTCCTGAACAAAACTGGTGACTTTTTCAGTGTCATTAGTTGGATTTATATTTAATTTCTAATCAAGAGCAAGTATTTTTCTATTTATGGAGAGCAAGGGCTATTTTATAAGGGATCTTTTGCTACAATAAAGATTTACTTAAGACATAAGTGTGCATTTTAAGTTATTCTTGTTTTTGTCTGTCATGAAAATACACTATTCACACCAAAGCACAATGTTGATAACTGGTATGTGTGTCTATTTGTGTTATGTCACAAAGTCCATCTTACTTCTCTTCAAGAAAGTATACTCCATGGATGCCACAAAGCTGCTTAAGCGTCATGGGGACATATTTTCAAAGCCCTCCTTTAATGAGATGAAAGTCCATTTAACAGACTCAGCAGTATTTATGTGTGCGGATGTACAAAAAACAATCAAAAGCAATATTCTACTTTTCCTCATGTGGTCCATGAAAAGAACCAGTTCCAAATATTTTTTTTCACACAAGAAAAAAAACAAAACCTGAAAGTACAAGATGCCTAACTTTGCTCAGCCAACAGAAGGGAGCTGATGGCAGTAAAAGAAGCTAATTATCTCACACAACAGTTGATAATCTTTTGAATGACTCCTTCTTGTTTGTCTGTTAACCAACAGCCTACTGAGAGAATGTGGGGCTGCCCGCTCCGGAGGGAAGAGGTGGCTGGAGCTTTGCCAGGTCCTTAGAAATGATTTCTGCCAGCCTTTGTTTGAAGCTGCCGGGGGCCTGTGAGGGAGTGACACGGCCGCTGGAGCTGACGGCCTCCTCCGTCTCCCTGTCATCTACCGCCGCGGCCTGAGCGCTGAACCCCGTCTGGCTGTAGCCGTCCACTGGGGGTAGGCTTTGGCGCCGGGATGAGGCACCCTGATCAGATCTGGGTACGGCAAAGGGAGGAGCCTGGTTTGGGACGGAGGGAAGAGGCTGGTGATCTGACGAATAGGGGAGTACATTCACGTGGGAATAGATGTCGTCTGAACTTTTCTTCGCAGTTCTTTTCACCGGGGGAGGTGTGGCTCTCCTGAAATTGCAGTAAGTGCTCTCCGCCATGAGGTTATCCAGGTTTATACCCTCCAAGGAATGGCACTGTTCGTCCTCGTCCTCAGCCTCCTCTCCCAGTGCCTCCTTGCTGCCAGAGAGAGGTTTGATGAGACACGGATGCTTCGTCTGTGCGGGCACCTTAGAAATGGTAGAATAGAGGGTCCCAGACTCTGTTTCAGCGTGGAAATCAGCAGGGTTGACAGGAGGACCAGCAGGCCAGTCGCTTGTGACTGGCTGAACGAGGGAAGAAAAGTCACATGATCTTCTGTGGGCGCTGACGGGCTGGACATTCTGCTCCCTCTGCACTGAGCAATGCCTGCCAATAGCCTGGAAGATCTCAGGCCCGTGCTGCGTCAGAAAGGTGAACAGTCCCTCTCCTGACTCACAGCGGCGGCCTGCTTCAATGCTGAAGCCCCCCTGCAATCACACATAACATTTCTCACCTTTGGGATAATTTTTTAGCCCATTCTATTAAAAAATAAAAGAATAGATAAACAACTTGTGAAATATCTTAAGCAAGATTTTTAGTTGACTTGACTTCGGGTGCCTTTGGGTTCCAGTATTTCCACTATAACCAGCAGTCACTTTATTTAGAATTTAAACTTTTTTCATTTTGAGTGACGATGCTCTATTGCATTTGGCTCTATGTGGTTCATTGAGTATTTACCTCAACTTGCCCAAATTTGCGTAACAGTCTGTACGGCCAGCTGTAGATGGCTTCACCGGTGTCGATGGTCAGCAGAACCAGAGCCTCACTGTTGGGGGACACCAGATACTCCCCAGCCAGCCTGCACCTCCTGGAGGCCTCTGTGCTATGGACAATCACTTGGTAGTGGTTTGGTGGCAGCTCTAAACATTAGGAAACATAACATGCTCGGATCAGTGTTACGGAAATAACCAGCCTTCCATAAATGGCACCAGCACCGATGTATCAACAGAAGAAGCAAATGCACACCAAACACATTTCCATATTGAATAAATGTCATTTAAAATGGCTTGCAAAATACTAATCTCCTCATGTGACTTGCATCACAGGACTGTTCAGAAATATAATCCATTTGGGAATAAAAGAAAATGCCTTTTTATAAGCTTGAGCTTGCTGATGCAAACACATTCTGTCCTTCGTGTTTGAATAAATGTTTGTTTGTTGCCGCTGAATCTATTGAATGCCTGTGCTAATGCTTTGACATGATCATCCATTAGGCCGACATATTCACCAGTTTACTTTTACTAAGATTATTTACATTCAGTGACAGTGACACGTCTAATTAACAGCTGTTTCCCATGGTTCAGGAAAAGCATGTGCTAAAAAAAAAAACTGTTGAGCTGGGAGACATCTCTGGGATGTAGACTGACAGAGGGAGAAATAAGCAGGAAATCCTCCAAACTGGTGAAAGGAGGGGTTTGGTGGTGGGGACAGCACTGACCAGTAAAGCTGAAGGGTTTGATGCCAGACAAGTGATTTACTTTCATATAGATTTTTTGGGTTTCAGGTGTTCTTTGAGTAATTATTTTGAAAGGACTAAGGTTAGATTTCCTCGATTATTTGTGTGACATTCCCAGACATAATGGAGATACATTGCCTAAAAGACGTGTCATGAAAAAAATGCAGAGACGTATAAATAGACTTATATATTCAGCAGACAATTTCCGTAAAAGGAGTTTTTACTTAACCTCTGAGTACTATTTATAGGGGATTTAACAATTATAGTATTGCTTAGAGGTTAGAATTAGAGCCTTGTTTTAGACTTGGTAAGGAAGTCTTTCTAACTATTTATGGAACCTTCCTTTGCATTCCACCCTGTTAAATTATATCAATCAACATTAAAAGACAAATATACATAGCTATTGATCTTCTGTCTATAGTTAACTTTGGATGTCGGAATCTGAAGTTGCATGGGAGCATGATGGTTGCTGGCAGCATCACCTTAAAATAAGAATGGTTTTGAGGTTCAAATTGCAGTTCAGGCTTCCGGCTTCATATCAGAGCCCCAAAAACATGCCTGTTAGGATGAAATGATCCCTAATTGACTTTTGATGGGACTGTAAGCATGCATGGTTGATCGTCTTATCTGCCTCTGCCTGTGATATGAAAATGAGGCAATCTTTCCAGAGAATACTTTGCCTTTGATGCCATTTCCCATTGTAGGAAAACAAAGCGAACAAAAGGTGAGAGATGAACATCTAAATAATGGAAGTAGAAAAGCCTACAATCTATCTGAACTAAAACCAAAAAGTGAACTATTCTCTGCCTTATCATACCTTTTCATACATCGTTCTCTGAGCCTTCCACTGGTCAAGAGGGACAAATAGAAATTACCTCTTTTCCAAGATGAGTAAATGTCATTATCTTCCATGGTCAAGCCATTTCCTCCTTCAAAATCCCCTTTGGCTGGTTCTCCAGGATCCTTCTGTAAACACAGTGGCATGGTAAACATCACACGGAATGTACACCTCCCTCTTATCTCCCTTTTATGACTTGAAAGTGGTAAGATGCAAGCGAGAACATAACTTGTGCAAGCACAAGAATTGGAGAAGTGACCAAAGTTTCCAATACTGTTTTAACTTCCTCATTATGTTATCTCCCTTTTGCGATGGGTAAAGGGTCATGTCAACTTTCCCAAATCAGAGTGCTCACATCAATGGGGAAAGTGGCTGTGGGGCAGGAGGAGGGATGAGCGGTACCTGGAAGGCCAGGAGGCAGAGGGCGCTGAGCCACTCCTGGCTGCTCATGGAGGCGAAGGTGTAGGTGCACTGCGTGGTGTTGACGTAGAAGGCCGTGCAGCCGGGAGGGCAGGACTCCTTGGCGGCCGGCACGGCGCTGAGGCAGTCACTGAGACGCACCACTTTTCTCTCTTGGGATTTCTGGCGACCGGCCTTCAGCTGCTCGCTGATAGAGCTGCTGTCAGAGGCAGAGAAGAACTCCAGCCGGCCCACACCTGAAGAACTGGGCTTGTAAAGCACCATCCACACTTTCCGCCATGTTCTCTGAGGAAAAGAGAAGTGAGCCAAACAATTAGAAGCAAGTTGTGTCTTCCACGATTGTCGCTTTCGAGTTAAAGACACAGGCGAAATGCTGTATACTATACGCACAGGATTTTCGACTAGAAAGTCAAACAGCTCATTTTAACACAGTTTCAAATTTCAATTGTTCAAATATGAGTCATATTGACAGTTTATCTGCAACTTCAGTCATCAGACAACTCCGAGTTCCTATGTTTCAGGAGAAAAGGTCGAGTGTGGGTATTTTGATCCATAATACGCCCCCTGCTCTTTGCATCGTCTTAGATCTGGTTTGACACGGGCGGTAATTCCAGAAACATAATTGTATTTTGAGCAGCAGATTATTACAGCATTCAACGTAACACCATCAAATATCGTTGCAACCACATTCAAGTTTCTGTCTGTTCAGCGAGAAAGTGTTTCATGTGTCCATATAACAGATGCACAGTTCTGATAAGAAACTAAAGGCGCCTACGCCCTTGGTGACACTTCAAACAATATTTTGAATTTTAAGTGAGATGAATCTGACAGAAATGGAAAATATCAGATTTTCTGTCATGCATCTTTAAAGGCTTACAAAATATTCTCTGACAAGGCTGCAGTGCTAAACTGCCTTAACAAGCATTTCATTGCCACTGGTTCCATGAGTGATTTTTGCAATTACATTTGAGTGCAGTCACACTTTTTTTTACCAGTCACGTTTTGTCAGATCAGTCTCAACTTTTCTCAAACATCTGTCTCAAAAATGCATAATAGGCCTAAAGTTTGGGCCACTGAAGAACCAGGAGTTTCTTCTCACAGTGCCTTTTAGACCTTGAAGTTAATTTTCAAATAAACCCCAACTTTCAATAACAGTGAAAGAGTAAACTGCCCTTTTTCTTTCCTTATTCAAAAGACATCGTCTGGCGGTCCTACAGGCCCCATCTCCTAATAGTCTGCTCCAGTGAAGACCACCGAGTCCCTGTGTGCCAGTTGGATGACTTCGTATCTGCCGATAATCATCTACCCAAAGAACAGTCTGGTTTTAGGGAGAACTGAGCCCATCCAGACCTGAATAGAAAAGTAGCAGTGGACTTTTAGATGAAAATGTCTCCTTTACAAACCTTCCCTTTTATCTAAAGTCCTCCCACACAGTCACATGATAGCTGGCCACAGAATGCATCCCGTTGAATCATGTATAGGGATTTCTCGAATTTGTCTACATGGACATCAAAATGATAAAACACTTGTAGAGCACAACTGGAGTTAGTGGAACGGTCAAAACAAACCGTTTAAAGACGGTGTGGAGGTGGAGTTTTAACCATTACTATTGTCTTGCAGACCTGAGCCGTTTTCTGATGAACTCAGTACTTCAACTTCCCCTTTATTTTTTTAAGTGAACGGGGATATAAAAGTGTTTCTGTGTTTTATATTTAGCCATTACTTAGGGTTATGGAAACATGGTTGGTCTTTTCACAACCTTCTCATGCCTCACTGACACAAAACCTTCCTTTTATGCTTTGGGTCATGAGAAAAAGGCATGAAACCACTTTAAGTTTTTATGTCTTTTTATGGGATTTGGTGAGGGCCTGAGCATACCTGCAGCTTGCTGTGTCCTTGTTGCTTTACAGTTGTTGAGGCCACCCTATTTTCAATTCAGGTTTTCACCGGCGCCAATTTATTTAAATTTGCTCATCTAACTTAATCAAAGCACCGACTCCAAAACAAGTTTAAAGCATGATTAAATGTGCTCTTTTCATTCAGTTCTGAATAGTTTCAGCCCAGAAAAAAACCCAACATAAAATGCACCCTCACCCCTAGATCTGCCTAAGCTTTTAAAAGGGTTTCCTATGCAAACTGAGCTTTAAATTGACATAATTTTCCTTTCTTTTTTAATCGTAAAACTTTTTTTTTGCAGCTGATTAATAGTCAGTGCCTTTCAGACATTAATTGAACCTCCACCCAAACATTTCTTTCTAAAGGACATCTGATGTTTAACATTCAACTTAAAGTTGGCTCTTTAAATGTCCAAAGTGCAGATAACTGTTGGAATGAGGTTTGATGAAGATTTCTGCATCATCGGGCCTTTCCTCACAGCCAGTTTGAACAAACAAAAACCCAAACCCCTTTGCATAACTAAAAATGTCAGGAATGCCAAAAATATAAAAAATATCAGCTTGTGTCCTGGAAACAACAAAGCTTTTGGAAAAAGGGTGTTCCAATCAAATCCCCTGTCACAAACCTTAGTTACTACGAAAATATACAGAACACAAGAAAGGTGACATACCATTAAGAGTACACAGAAACCTGGGGAAAGTTTAAAGGGACAAAAAAAACATGGTTCTATAAAAGAACTAAAGCAGCTTTTATTTAAAAAAAAAAAAAAAGCAGAACTATGTGTTCATGCAGCTCAATCTGACCTTGAGTGGTGTGTAACAATGTTAGTGTTTAAACAAAGTGGGTCTCCCTTAACATTTCTTATAGTGACACAAGGCCAATGTGCACTTTCCATCTTCAGATTTTGGAACAAACAGCTTCTTGGTACAAAGCCCTGCACTGTGGCATTAAAAGTGCTGGGCTCCAAATTCATCACAGCCTGATGAAATAAAAACCTTCGACTGCCGAGTCGAAATGTCATAAAAACGAGAGAAATAAAACACAACCTTCAGTATTTAGGAGGAGGAACGACTCACCATTACCTTTCCAAACTTGACTCCCTGGAAGTACAACTGCCCCTCTTTGAAGATGACATCCATGCCTCGGAGCTTTGACGGCGGAGCCCTCACTGGAGCTCAGCGGCTGCAGCTGTGTGTTGTGGCATTTCGGCAGCCAGGGAGTAAAATTAGAGATCCTGTACCTCAACTATTGTTTCCGTGACGTCATCTGCCGCTTTCATATTTCCAGCAGTACGAGGGCCCCTTTGGGTTGATTAAAATTCAACATGCCTCTGAACTGTTGCAAAACAGCGGCGCGCAGGTTATGTGCTGCCGTCTCCTTGAGTCAAACTTCCCTTTGCCCTATTCTGCAGGTTTTAGCAACTTCCTCACTGAGCCGGTGATGCCACACCCATTGCACACAACAACACAAGAGAAGAATAACAAATATAGGGGGTTTATTTACAAGAGTTGAAAAATGTCTTTCACAAAGAGGCGTGATCCGAAAAAGTGTAAGAAACGTTGGGAGGAAACAAAAAGCGCTAATCCTTCCATCTAACAAACCTGCATACTGTGTCGTGATGATAAAATATACTTCCTTACTGCAGTGACATGACATGTAACTAAGGTTTCCTCAGAAATCTTTCTCACTTCCTGAGAATATTGGACAATCTTTGTTCTGATGAAAAAGCCTTTAGAAGTCCATTGAGCTATGAGCCAGGTAGTCTTTCCGTCCGATGTTGGTGACCTGCTTGGTCTGCATGGCCTCCAGCTTTGGACAGTCTGTAATACGATGACCAAGACCACCGCAGAATGTACAGCCCCTCTCTCCTGTGAAAATACAAGAATCGGACAGTAAGAAGTGATAGGAGTCCACTACACAGACCCAGACGTAACTCGACTCTGAGGGACGACTCACCTCCGATGTCCAGCATGGTCTCGTCTCCCGTCTGGAGCACCTGAAGGACTGGAGGGACCTTCTGCTTGGCTTCGACTAGCAGGGCTTTAAGATCCATCAGCACAGACTCATCTGTAAACAAGACGCATGACACACACTGCATATTAACACTGAGTGGAGAATAAGTTGACCAAAGTCAGTTGCAACGATAAAAATATCATCATGATTTATTTCAGCTTCTACAGTCTTGGTGTCATAAACCGTTTAAAAACCACTGTGACAGCAGCTTTACTACCACTCCAAAAGCAGGAACCCACACATCTGTACTTGTGTTTCTACTTGGTATACACACAGTGCATTTCCTGTGGGAACCTTTTCAAATTATTTCCAGTGCTGACCTTCCCCCGCATCTCAATCTGGCCTGTAGACAAAACTTGATTTTGTCTGTACAAACCGAGTTGTCAGTTTAACTCAAGCTTTCTTACCACAGCCTTTATTGATGAACGTTGTGGCAATGCCGGTCTTTCCCGATCGTCCAGTTCTTCCAATTCTGTGGACTGAAACAAGAACATTTGATCAAATCTCCTTAAGAACACATACGGAGAGAATTTTAAAATTGCGTTTTTAAACATATAGACTCTCACCATAGTTCTCTATCTCCTCAGGCATGTCATAGTTCACTACATGCTGAATAGCTGGGAAATCCAGACCTTTTGAAGCCACGTCTGTGGCAACTAAGACATCCTTCTTTCCCTCTTTGAATGCTTCAATGGCTTTTGTTCTTTCTTCCTGATCTAAAAAAGGAGAGAAAAATTAAACCAATACTTAAAAAAAAACAGGATTTCAGATAAAAAAGTATCTTGGAATCTCAGGACAACTGTAAACCGTATGCCATCTGGTGGTGGTACTGAAGAACAGCAAGAAAGAAAGAGAATAAAATAACAAGCTTGACTTAGCATTACTTTAAATGCAGCCGCTCTCTACATCTACTCCTAACTGTGTGTTGACTGCTTTGCACTTGGGTGCTCAGAGTCCAGCGCACCTTTTCCTCCGTGTATGGCCACCGCCTCCACTCCCTTTAGCAGCAGATACTCGTGGATGGCATCGACATCGGCCTTCTTCTCAGCGAATATGAGCACCTGTCATAACAAACAGGGACTGGATTCATGTTTGTTTTCACGTGTTTCAGCAATGCATGTGTTTAATATGTAGGGGCACCTACTGGAGGAGGTGTTTTCTGGAGACACTCCAGGAGGTACACCATCTTGGCCTCCTCTTTGACGTATTCCACTTCCTGCACACGCATCAAGGGAGATTTAGATTGTGGAATTTTGACATGAGAGTGTTTCAAAATTAAATTAAATCTTATCCAAACGTACCTGGATGACATCCAAGCTGGCAGCTCCGGCCCTGCCCACGTTGATGGTGATTGGTTTGACCAGAGCACTCTTGGCAAAGTTCTGGATCTTCTTGGGCATAGTGGCACTGAACAGCAGGGTTTGTCTTTGTCCCTAGCAAGAAACACAAAAAATAAGTCAGGGCTATTGTTTCCATGTTGGGTTTACGCTCATAATAAAATGTCACGCTTCAATAGATTGAGTGCAACAGCTGGCAGTCAAGCTGCCTCATAGAGCATTACATGTGAAAAAGACAGAGGAAGAGCTGAGAGAAAAGATCGTCAATACATTTAGGGAACCTTTGAAAAGGTTTCAAACTTTTAATCAGTTTGTGGGGATCCTATTTGAAATGATGACCTGTTTGGCTTCATGAAGAAACCACATTGTGCTGGCGTTAGTGTTATAGTGACTGAGAGCTGCAAAAGGCGCGTCTCACCTTAAAATAGGAGAAGATGGTCCTGATGTCTTCTTCAAATCCCATATCAATCATCCTGTCTGCTTCATCCAGAGCCAAGTAACGGCAGATGTCGAGGCTGACCATCTTCTTTTGCAGCAGGTCCATCAACCTCCCAGGGGTGGCCACCATCATGTGGACGCCACTGGACACAAGAGGACGTAAACCGTTTACTCCCTGCACACCCTTGCCAAATAATTGTTTTATTGTCTCTGGGGTTCTCGGTTCTGTTGTGGTTTTTCTACTGCAAACCCAAACTTTAAAGCATCATGACAGGAAGACTCCGTTTCTGTCTGGTTTGTTCCTATCTGACATAGCTGAACAAAGCACTTTTCTCCCAGCTCCTAATTCGAATCTGGATGGAATCCAGAGTTTTAACAGGACATCAGTCTTACTTACTGTTTCACTACCTCCATCTGCTCCTTGACAGACATTCCTCCGATGCAGAGAGCAGTGCGCAGCTGGGGAGCTCCCTCCTCCTCTAGCAGTTTGGAGTAATATTCTATGATGCCGTGAGTCTGCCTCGCCAACTCTCTCTGAAATGAAAAAAAAAGTAGCAGTGAAAAAAAACCCTATCATATCAGTGGGCCAATTAAAGGGCTTAAGTAAACCAACGGATGCAACTGTACTGAAAGTCAGCCAAAAGTCACTAATTAGAAGACTAATTATTCAGACTTTGCAGTCAGATCTTTCACAACTATATGAGGGGGTGACTGTGATCACTGAAGAGATTCCTGAAGAGATTATGTTCCCACGAGAAAAGAGAAACATCCCAGCTGTCTGTCTGGCACGTCTTACTGAGGGACAGATGATGAGTCCATACGGGCCCTCTCTCTTGAAGAAGGGCAGCCTTTTCTCCTGCTCCAGGGCGAACATGATGATCGGTAGAGTGAAGACCAAAGTCTTTCCTGATCCGGTAAAGGCGATGCCAATCATGTCCCGACCAGACAGACTATGATGAGGCAAAAAGGATTAGCATGCATTTTAACCTCAACAAACATCCTAAAGTCATTGGTTCACTGTATCCTTTATCCATGGGCTCCACTTACACCGTTGGGATTCCTTGAATTTGAATTGGTGTCGGGTGCACAATTCCCTTCTTTTTTAAGCCTTTGAGAATTGCTGCAAACACAACAAACACAGATTGGTTGACAGCTGTTCACAGTGTGGGACAAATGAAGGTTTAGTTCAGAAGGACACTGTGGTTTTCACCTGGTGGGAGTTTCATCTCCCGGAAGCTTTTGATGGGAGCGGGAATGCCATCTCCATCAACCAGGATGTGGAATTTCTTCCTGACACGCTCATGTCTAGTACCCGGCATGTTCAGGATGTAGCGCGGTGCCTTCCAGCTACAAAGACAATTAGACTTACACACATTATCAAGATAACAAACATTGACAAGTCTCCTCACCTTGATGCAGACCTCACCTTGTTTTTATGGGGTCATCGTATATGATACCTTTAGCCATTTCCTTCACAGACATCAGAGCTAAAAGACCAAACACAGAAGCTCAGCGTTGGCTGAATGGCTTTCTTGCATCTATATGTTTAAGATTAAAATATAGGATGACGGCAAAGTAACTTTACCTCTGCCCTCAGCAACACTCTCAAGAATTTTCTCCTCCTCCTTCAGCTGCTTCTCTTTGGCAGATTCCTTACGGGCTGTGGACACAAACACATAAGATGTAATCAAGCCAAATAAAAGATTAAGAAAAGAAAACAAATATCACAGCACAAACAGGTCTGGTTTGAAAATACTACAACACACCTTCTGCTTTTTCTTTTAGGTGTTGATGCTGATCGAGGAGACTAACATTGGAGCGAGGACCAAGACCCTCGTCTTCATCCCTCTGCTCCTCTCCACTGTCCTTCATCTCCTCATCCACTGCCTTCCCTCGCACACGCAGCATTTTCTGTAGCTGTGATGTGAACATGATGTTAGTATACTTTGCTGATTTAATCCTTCATTAGGGATCCATTAATCACTCATTTTCTCTCTATCAAAAATGTTATTCCAAGCTTTTCAATGATTGCTTAAAGCTATCAGGGGTTTGTTGCGCCTTAGTAATGAGCAAACACAATATTTGTTTTTAATTCTGAAAAGAAAAGTTGAATCTTTATTAGTTACACTTAGATTTTTTTTTCAAAACCCGACCCACTTCATTAACTCTTTAACTGGCCCCCACACCAAACTGGTGGACTTAATTGATGAAGGTCAAACATAATTGTTCGGTAACTTACCATTTGCTGCTTTCTGATTTTGACCGGGACGTAGGGAACATAATCATCATCTTCTGATCCTTCTGAGCCAGACTTTTCCTCCTCATCATAGGCTCTCTGAAAGACAGCATGGTCATTCTGTCAACTCCACCATTCCATCCTGATCGTGAATTTTTTTTATTATTATCATTATTATAAAGGAGTTCTACATAAACAAGTTCCTCTTTGATAGCTCAGGAAGAAAATCTCTTATCCTTTTAAAAACTGTGAGATACTTCTGAATCCTTTTTAAATTCCATAATTTTTGGCAGCAGCAAAAATTTAATAGTCAATTCAGATATCTTTGTTTGAATGATAAGATCCAGATTTATATTTGTACATTTGCACTTGGACTTGACATTCAGAAAAACCTATAATATAATGATAAGAGTGTGAGGGAGGCAAATTCTATACTGGGCAAAGACATTCTCAAATGATTAGAGCTACAAACACTCCTCTGAGATCTGGATTTAGACATGAGAAAAATGATTCAGGTAAGGGGGTACATATTATTTTGTCTCTTGGTTTTTGGCTACAGATCAATCATTTGATAGCCTGGCACCTGTAGCTTTTAGCTACACCTGTAGCTTTTTTCTCTCTTTCAATTTCCTATCTTTCTTTATATGAATCAATATTAAAGTTTGGACATTCAATCCAAACATGGTGTCCACTGTAGTCACAACTTTAGAAAAGTGAGTGAGGACGTATCTTACAAGAAATAATATATTTTATACCATCCTATAAATGGGACTTATGGAGAACTTAAACTACTGTACTTCAGGTATTTAATTTCATGAATTGATTTGGAAATCAACTAATGCTGCTTTCAGAAAAACTGATATTACTGATATACCAAACCATTGTTTCAATTAACCACGTCGTTTACAAACGCTGAGAGTATAAGTCTAAATCAGACTCACAGCAGTGTTATTTTAGCCAAGAGCAGTTAGCAATTTTCAAAGCTACTTTAAACGTAACAGTTGCGTATTCACTACGTGATACATTTATTTTTACCTATTGTCATCTGTGTCACAGAATTAAACTAACCAGCCCATTTGTCATTCGCTTCTTATGATGTGTACTTAATAATAGTGCTTTTGAGCCTCTAAAAGACATGATTTAGGACGAATTACGTAAAAGACTAGCTAACTATTAGCTCCAGATAGCTAGCATTACTTTCCAGGTTCTTTTTAATAACACGTGCTAAACTTACCTTTTTCAGACGGTTTTCGGTCTCCATTTAGCTTGTTAATTCGCCAATGAGTTATATGCACTCTAAAAATAGGTTACAAATCAAATACAAGTAAAACAATTCAATTGATGAGTACAATGCGCATGTTTACCCCTCAGAAAAAGATGCTGTACGGAGCGCCGGAACGGTCAAACCTTACAGATTCGCGTCTTGCCAACGATGCTTAGTAACAAAAGCTGACGTTGGACAAAAACGTTAAAAAAAAGCACTTTCCAAATCAAAGACATGAAGTTATAAAGAAAACACCACACCTTATTTTTGTCAAAACTTTTTTGTTTTAATCTTTCTGTACGAAAGATTTTTCACAGTATCAAAAGTGAATAAAAAAAAGAAACAAGCCAACATACACTTGGCTATTATCGGTATAGTATAAATCTACATTCGAAACATTAAGATAATTTTCTCTAACCGAGTATAACCTGGAAAGCATCAGATGTTATATTTAAAAACAAAACAAATTCTCAGGACATATTTGAAAAAGGATCGTTCATCTCAATGAAAGCAACCAGCTATTACACTGAAACTGGTATAAAACCAAAATGTTTGAGAAAGTTTTCTGTTGTGATCAAGAAAGAAAGAAGAAAATAACCAAAAACCGAGGCTTCAGATAGGTAAGCTCAAGTGGGTGTCATCAAGATCACAGTACAAAAGTAGTATGGTTGGAAATGGAACATTCTCTTGCACACAAACACATCATGCACACAATGCATGACGACCGAAATGAGCCAAGATCATCCACTCCTTATGTACAAGTATTTGAATTACCTCTGTCAAACATGAGGTCATGGTTCCATTATTTGACTGAACACAGCAGACTGATTTAATTGTGCTGTACTGTTAGCACTGACTTTCATAGTAAAGCAGATGTATCAGATATTGTTCTAGGAGAAATTCTTCATAACCAACGCCACAGATGGACTGACACTGAAGCAACACACGTTTAACTTTTTGCAGGACAGGACTGGGGCAGATATCTTCTAGTCAGTAATCATGCACAAGCTTTCATTTGCAGGGGTACTTCATAGCATTTTTTTTTTAAGGTGGGCCAAATGCAAAACTTCAGATCAATAAATTAATATATTAGTGTTGTTGGCAAATTAACTGTTCATTAATTTTACATTCGTGCTCTCTTTTCTTTTTACTTCATCACAAGACAGTATATAGCAGGAAAGCCAGGTATATTTAGCTGGTCAGTGCAAGTTGTTGACCAGTTAAAATTTGGGGGAGGTACTCGGATTCAGAAAAAACAATAGAGTGCTTTTGAACCAACTCCTTGTTTGTAAAAATGATCATCACTGTCGAGACTAGTGTATTGCGCTGGACTGTAGAAAAGCAGAATGTAAAAGATAATGAGCACCAAATTGAATTGAGAGGAATTCAGCAATTTTAACAATGTTAAAATGTCTCAGATTTGTCATAAAAACCATTTATTTCCTGTAAGGTAATTGTTTACATATACATAAGCACATGGATGCAGTTGATTCAACAGACATTCCTCCATTGTTTTGCATCTCTCCCTCAGAGAACATTGCAATAATAGAAAAAGTTGGCCATGAGAATGCTCCCTGGCCTATAAACCACGGATAATGTTTGGAGTCTTCTGAATGGAGAGTGTGATTTTGAACCACGGTCTCTTGACTTTGTGAGAAAGAAAAAAAGCTGGGAATGAGAGAAGGCCTCGGGCCAAACCGATCTCTACTGAAAGAGTCTGTGGTGTTAAGTTTTTGTTTTTTCTCTGGCACTCATCCAAGTTATTGAGCTGCATTGGAAGGAACTTTTTTGAGGCTGAAGTTGGACCAGTTCACTGCTACCTTCTGGCGAGTCTGTTTAGCAGAATCCAGACAAAACCTACAGGGAGTATAGAGAGAAGAGAAACAATAGGAGGGAAAAAGAAAAATGATCCACATTTAGATGATTAATTCAAAGATGAAAAATGTATCTATTTCAAATCATTAACAAATACACTGCTTTGCATTGCATTTACCTTTTAAAGTATTCAACTTCCCGATCAATCTCATCCATCTCTGTTGGATCCACATCTTTAGGTAGAAAGACATCGTCTAAGAAAGAAAATGAGAAAATTAGCTGGAAAGACTCAGTTAAATACCAGTAACAAATACAGATAGTCTACCGTACCAATGACGCTGCTTGACTTTTCACCCTTGTTCTTGCTCTTCTTATTTTTCCCCTTGGTTTGTTGCTGTTGAGACCCATTTGTTTGAATGGTGGGAGGATTCTTCTCCAATTCGTGCTCTGACCGCCCCCCTCGTGTATCTGTCTCACATTTCCCCCTTTGCGTGGCGAAGGGCCCGCCGTTTGCCGCATTTGGTTTGGATGGTTTGCCCTCTTCAGCTTTCTTCGGCCCATTTCTGTGGCTGTCTGCAGAGTGCTGAGGCTGTTTGCTCCCAGACCTTGAGCCATTAGATGTCATTTCTTTAGACTCGTTGGTTTTAGGCGTTTCATTCCCGGAGGCAGCTTTGGCTGGTTTATTGGAACTTTGCTCTGGCACCGATTGCTCCTGTCTCTGCTGCTGTTTCTTGTTCTTCTTTGACTTTGCACCGCTATTCCCAAGTGTGGTGTTTTTCGCCTCATGGGTGTCCTCCTTAGATTTAACCGTAGCTTGGACTGGTATCTGTGGCAAAGCGTCAGATCCAGTGGAAGTGCATCTTTCAGGGGAGCGAACTCTTATGAGCTTCGAGAGGCTGGATGTAGTGTTCAACCGCTGGGTGTCCTTTAAAGCAGCCCCCACCCCGGATGAAGTGGTGGTAGCATTAAGGGACGGGGCAACATTTGAGTCCTCCCATCCGTTAACCAGGTCCAAGTGGCTCTTAAAGGTTCCAAGTGAAAGAGGAGAGAGGTCCAGGTCTATCTGCTGCAAGTCAGAGGAGCCATTGAGATGTGACAGTAAATGGTTTCCCTCCAATGTGGCTGCCTTCTTTGGGAAGTCATTGACATCCAGATTGAGATCGTACATGCTAAACGAGGCCCGGATAGAGTCTTTGATGGTGTTCTTGATCTCTTCCAATCGACTTGTGAGAAAACTGTTGACCCGCTCGAGTTCAAGCTGAGGCCAGTCGAGCAGCCGACTGGCTTCTGGACCATCGAGGATGGGCTCATCAACGGGCTCAGACGGACTGGAGTGGGGGTCACTGCCTGCAGCACCCATGTTGACCTGCTGAGCTTTTTCCTACAACAGACATGGAACGCAGGTGTGAGGTCGAGAGCAGGTAAATGCACTAAATTAATTCAGGTAACTGAGACAACAAAGAAGTGTAGATGCCGACAATACAATATATTAGGCTGTATTATTTATGGCTATTTGAAAATAATAAAATATCTCTGTAGTAGTGACTATTTACTTAGTAAAAGCTTTGAGTCCATTTTTATCAGTTAACTAGACTGAGATTTAAGCTTTTAAGGATTTCCAACCTTAAGTCCCATAATAGCAAGCTACAAGAATATATAGAGTGCCGGTATATTCTGGTTTCTGGTTCAATAAGGGCTTATCAAAATTTCCCTTCATCTCAAGTAAAATTGAAAATGCCAGTTAACGTCAGAGGAACTGAAAGGAGTAAACGTGGACATCTGACAAGTTCCTGCCAACGCTCTGTCCTTTAAATCTTGTCTGTATTTTCTTTTTTGCCTGGGTACATTTGTCAAAGTTACCGCACCTTCTTCTTCTGTTTGTGTCGAGCCCTTTTGGCTGCCTTGGCACTGTTGACCGGTTTGGGCTCCGAGCTGTTTATGAAGTCCAGCAGCTCGTCCACGTCCCTGTTGTCGATGGCACTGGCTGCTGTCAGTTCTGAGTCCTGACGCTGGGGCAGCTCCTCCTTACGCCGGGTTAGGCGCGAGCGAAGCTTCTCTCGGATCTCAGCATAGTTTCGGCTTGTTGGTGCAGCTGGAGGCTGAAATAATACAGAAGATATTTGTCACCATATTTGCACATTTGCTTTGATGAATGATTAATGACTGATGTGATAGCAATGGTAACTACCGCGTTGTGTCCGAAGAACTCGCAATAGCAGCAGTCGCAGTACTTTCCATCCTTCTGGTTGTTGGAGGAGGAAGCGCAGGAGCTCCTCTCAGAGCTGCTGTCTTCATCTTCCCCCTCCTCCAGCTCTGAAGAAGGATGGCACAGTGTCCCATTTGTCACCTTGTGCCCTTTACATGCCTGATCCCTACAGAGGAGGAATAATAGATGAACCCCTCAGGATGTGTTTGATCACCCAAATCTGATGTTAAAGAAGAGCCAGAAAGGGTCATGAACACTAACCTGCAGGCTCCTGCTGTAAGATGGCCAATATTGGAGGTGGCCACTGTTCCCGGGGTGTGACCATTACAGGAGTGGTTACAGCCCATGAGAGACGAGCCCAGTTTGCTGTGCTGTGTGTTGACAGCAGGAATGTGGGAGTTTTTGCACGGGCTGGGCTTGTGGACAGATGTTGGGCTATCAGGACTTGGGGAGCTGAGTTTGGCTGAGGGGCTTTGGAGATTTGGTACCAACGGGGAGAAGGGAGTGTGAGCTGCCACGCCGGGGCCGCAGGAAGAGGATACGTGACCATGCTGCCCAGAGTTTGGCTTTGGGGGAAGGAGAGAGGAATGCTGGGAGGAAAGGCCAGTGGGACTGTTGGGGGGTACCGACAAGTCTGTGTGTTGATGGTGGTCACCGGGATGGAAGGCTTCACCTGGATGATTCCAAACAAAAGACACATGGAATAAATTAAATTAAAAAATATTTTTTTCCCTTTTACTACAAAAGATGCATTCTTATTTTTTATGACTGAAATGACTTACAATAAGAGTAAAAATCACCTGAATACTAATAATCAGCTGAATAATATGTCTGACACGTTCGTTTTGCTATACCTGGTGGCGTTGGTCGGCGGCACATGGTCTTGAAGTGCTTGGGTGTGGTCTTACAAAGGTCTGCTGAGGTAGACAGAGGGTTCCCAGCAGAAGAGCCACTGGAATTCTGGGATGATGGGTGACTGTAGGGACACACTTTGGGCAAAGACGCTTTAGCCAATTTCCCGGGAGCTTCATGAAGTCCTCTTTTCTCGAGACATGACGATCCTACTGTTACCCCTGCAGAAAAGTTTGAAACGTTTTACAAAGGACATGATGACAGACACAGAGCAACTGCAAAAATGGCAAGACATAATCCTCAATAAAGCTCAGTTTAACAACACACTCTAATTACTATTTTGTTTGTCAATTTGTATTACTCCTGCCATCCTAATAATCATATCACCACATCTGAGGGAGTTTGAGGTGACTTGCACTAAATTCATACACTCTCTGTCTGCCTATCTCACACAGTGTAGAAATTGATGCAGTTCGCAGTAACTTAAAATCCATTGAAACAATATTTTTGTTTTTTGGCGAACTACAGGGAGCAACCACTTCATGTCCATGCGTGGTTGTCTTCCTTATGCATGCTTTACCCTCAACAAGTAATATCAAAGCTGAATTGGTGTAAATGTAACATTTTACACAAAAGCAGATATCTGCCCATACAGGACACATGCCTCATTTAACTTCTTCCAATTCATACCAATTTTAACAGGAATCTGCCCACAGGAACTGTTCACGCTTTGTTTGCATAGCTAGAAACTCAATCATAGCAACACATAAGATAAACTACAGCAAATTTGAATAAATTGAAAAACACAAGAAAGGCCAACACAAACATACACAAAATGAGAATAAGGATAGCCACAATTTACAAAGAAATTAATTTCCTAAGCACATACACCCTACTTTCACTTGAACATAGTATTTTATTAGAATAAAATGCTAATGATAATTTCATTCAACATAAAAAACAGTGCAGAAACATGTGACTCTTTTCTCCTTTTTGATGTACTAAAAAGGAAAAGCTAAATTTGGCAACTTACTGCTGCATAGAACCAATAAAATAGGTGCTTGTTTGGACCTTTCCTTCTATGTACTGCCTCTGTTAGCACCCGGGAACACAACAATCCCCACTTCAAACTACAACATGAATGGTGGGTTTGAACATGGATGAAGTGCAGCCTAAAAGCACTGTGTACTGATGCACTCAACACGTGCCAGACGAGTCCTGTCCGAGGCATTTTTTCTGTGGAATTAGGAGGATAAATACATCTGATGACAATTCATCAGCCATATTCTTTGAGGAAACAAACAACAAAAAAAGAGGTTTGTCTCCTAATAAAGCATCACAGCCAACTCCGATTTGAACTAAATCCGTGTCCAGTTAACAAAAATATGGCTTTGTGATGTTTTCCCCTTTTCTCTTACCCTCTGATGACAGACCTTGTTGTGAGTGTGATGAAGGGTTGTGGTTGCAGTGCTCCCCTCCGTTGGCGTGGGCAGAGTTCCAGAGCCCTGACAGTTTGTGGGCCGACAGGAAGGAACTGGGGTCCCAGTCCACAGTACTTTGCTCGGGGTAACCGTTTCCACAGCTTTGGGACTTACAGGAGGAAGAGTGTGACAATGGTACCTGTATTTGAGAGAAAAAAAGACACGAAATTAGTTGAACGTCTGACTGTTTAAAAAGAGGAATATTTTGCCATTACTCAACAAGAGTGCGTTCATTCCGAGAGCAACATGGATTAATTCATTCCTATTGAGTAGACTAAAAAATCTAATTACAAAAGAACTTGACAACCATTTCACAGCACTGCTCAACAGACCTTCAGTCTTACTGTACTGTTGTTAACATTTACTATTTGAGCCTAATGTCCACACCACATCATGAACACCCCATTCTATATGGACATACATTTTTATGTAATAAAGAAGTGGGGGAAAAAAATCATAGACGGCAAAGACAATTTCCACTTCTGTCTGCTTTCCACGCTGCACAGAAATAGCTTAGTCTAATATCCATCTGTTTTTCTGTTTAGTTTCTCTAGTTTAGTGAGAGTTCCAACTACTTAATCTAAATATCAGTAAACAGGAGTGAGGGAGCTAGACATCAGTCCTGCTATATTCACCGGCGTGGGCTGCTCCTGCGTACTCCGCCTCTCCTCCTCTTCCACACTTTTACAGCAGCTCTGACAGATCCATAGAGGCACCTCTCCCAGCAGGGACTGGGACAGAGAGGGCACGGCATCGGCCAGCTTGCGCCCCGGTGCCTCCCGTAATAAGGCCTGGGAGAGAGCAGGCACGGCGTCGGCCAGCTTTGTCCCATGGCCCCCGGGAAGTCCGTTCACAGAGCCTGCTCCCCAGTCCTTAAATTCTCGATGGCACAGGAGGCAGCAGGTGTGCATGGGCTGGGTACAGAGAGGGGAGTGAGGCTGAGATGTGAAGGGTTTCTTTCTTAAGACAAAAAAATGAAAAAATAAAAGGCTCATCAAATGCATCCCTTCTGCCTCTCCACAAACCTGCAATAGGATAGTAGATGAAAATGCATACCTAAAAAAAAAAGCAGCTTCTTCTGCTATGGCCCAGAGAATCTCTAAATAAATACAATAATGTCTGTTTATTTGTTTAAATCTTCCTCCTCTCTTTTAACTTTGAGGACTAATCTGCAAACAGACAGTTTTTGCTCTTGGTGGACCTTATGGCTAGTGTTTTAATAATGCTAGTGAGTTTTTATAAACTGTGCTGCAAACAGTAATCATGTGGATGTTTGCAAAGCCAGACAAGCATGTATTATCAATACAGGTAGAAATGGGGTTCTCTAAACTCAAGCTGTTAGCATAAAAACATAGCAACAAATAAACAGCACTATGGTCCAAACAACCGGACAGCATTCACAAATGACAAAAAAAGTCACAACAGAATGGAGGTTAGACTATATTGATACATAATGTTACACATTAGTACGTTTTTTTTTTTATGTTTAGCCAAATATCACAAGTTTGCCATCCAAAGCTTTACAATCTGCACTGACTGACGGTCGTTTGGTGTTTATTTTTTCCCAAGTGCAGTTTAAAAAGAGAGCAGGAAAAAACTGAAAATACAGGCATTATTGTGTTAAATAGATGTTGATTTGAGTCAAGCAATGCTGTTCCTTTTATGATATAAACTAAAGTAGATGCATACATACAGCGAGGGCATCGGCAACATGATGCCAGCATTATATAGCATCCTGTACCTCAAAAATAAATTATCAGCCACTTCAAACTCAGTCAAGAATGTTAAATAGTGTGGGATCCTGCTTCCAGGATGAAAATACATGTAATAAATGTGCACACAGAGAAATTGTATTACATATGAACCACAGGAATAACTGGAATAACCAAATAAAATATGTAAACATGAAAGGTGTTGATCCTGAAGTTATAAATCCACAAGCCTGTCCACATATATTTAAAAGCACCAAGCTGCAGGGTAACAGATGGAAACAGGCAAATTAAATCCAATGTAACCTCTTTGTAATGCAAAGCATGTCTAATTTCGACTGATAACCCAAAGGTTAACTACTTGTTTCAAGTAAGATCTTAAAAAATGACAGCTGGATTCACTATAAAGCTGTAGTTTTTCCATTGGTACCACTCACCTCGGTGGGTTTCCTCAACATGCACTATAAATGAAATGAAGTTATGCAACAGTCAGTGGGGTTAGATTCAGGTGAGCTGCAATTTTAGATGCTAAACAGATAGTGATTAAGCCTGCGGCGTCTGATCTTCTCTCTTTAAGCCTGTTGTTACCATCAGATTAGATTTCTAATGCCACTGATTTCGATATAGCGTGGCATTATTAGCTGGCAAGTTAGGTGTTCGCACTGAAACTTTCTGACATTAGCCGCTGTCACACTCGCCCAGAAGACACGGTTTCAAAAGAAAAGACTGATTATATGACACAATGCTATTAAATAGATGGGTTAAGCACACAGTTAATCAGATCGTTTACCCGCTATCGTTATTAGCTGTCTGACTGCTAAGCCAGTAGCTGGCTAGCCTCTGCTGGGATCAAATGTAGACAGCAAGCACGTTTGCAGCACGCTAGCTGCAGACAGACTGGCTAGCCGCTCGGCTAACGCTAGCTGGGCGGATGAAGAGTTGTGAACGCTGGAAATGGGACGAACTGTCCGAGGCACAATGTCACCTGTCCGGTAGGAGAGATGGGCTACCGTACTGGCCACAGTGCATAAAAGCAATTACGTCTTACATTTAAGTTAGACTTGCTATTATTGAAATGCACATCCAACGCCACGAAGCTCTACATCCACAGCAAGTATATTAAGTCTGATATACCGTTCAAGTCGCGAGCGGATGCATTTAATTTCACCCTAGCGTGGTTACGTTAAATTAAATAGAAGCACAGTGCATTATGCGTTGGTGAGCAGAAATAGACTACACAGAATTTAATAAAGGTAACGACGGGATTTGTTTTAGCTACCTGGTTCGCCCTGGTGTTGACCAATCTATCCAGCCCAGCATCTCCGCCGCCACCGCCAGCTGCATCGCCGGGAGAGACAGGGCTCTTCGGTGCGTTCTGCTGTCCAGGCACAAGCTCCTTCTGAGCGACCCCTTGCTGCTTGCTTTTCTTCCTTGCCATTACGGTGGTGTTTACGGTATGCTTTAGCCAAGTTTGCACCAGTTTCGATAATTTTGAGAGCACACTTTCGTTTCTTCTCGGACCTCAAAATGTTCTCTATCTCCTCCAGTCAAGACAACAGTCAATATGGCGGAGGGCTGGCACACTCGGGAGTTCAAAGGTCAAAGATACTGCTGGCGCGGAGGCTTCATTCCCACACTAAGAACACATTCACAACCGTGTTCAGTCTGTGAAGCCAGACAGCGCCATATTTACCAAGGGCAGCCGCCCGTTCTCTTTCTTTTTTCATGCACAGGTACAAAAAGATTTTAAACGAATTAATTCTTATTTTCAGTTCATAAACTGAAACCATTGTTGAACCATTGGGCCATGTTCATCCTATTGCACTATTCATGAATATAAAAATATTGAATTCTGAATGGTCATTTTATCATTTAAATTACTATGAAAATTTACTTTTAATATAATACAACAATGTATAGATCCACGTTTTCCAGACGAGTGAAATGCAAAAAAATAATACTCCGTTCCCTGATGCAATGCAAATGTTTTACATCTACTTCAACATCGTCTACTCACGCACATTGTGGTCAAAGATTTGAAAAATATCCTTATCATTTTTAAGATGTTAAAAAAATATTTAAAGAAGAAGCCTTATGAACACATATGGACATGGATACAAGAGGGTCATCATCAGAGGAATAGGAAGGGGAGTGGTGGAAGGCTTGACAATGACGTTTACGTTTTCTCGTGATGCTTTCGTAGGGCTTCGGCAAGAGTGGGTTTACATAGTTAAAGCAAACTGTCTTTACGGAGTTCCAAATACTTCTCTAACGTACTATATTTTTGTTGCCAAATGTCTTAATGTATCTCTAGCACACTAAACATGTTAAACTAATTGCAAGCATGATTGGAGTCAATTGTGTCCGAATGTGAGGTTTAAAATTTCCGAGTTTAAATCGGTCCCTAAAGGCATCCTCGGTGTCGGCGTTGTGTGGATTGAGGACGTTGAGCAGACAAGCTTGTCCGCTGCTCCAGGCTGCCGATGTTTGCTCCACAGTAGGTTGTTTACCTGCAGTCTTCTTATTCTAACACAAATAATAATGGAAGGACATATTTGCAACATCCAGGTGCTTCTTCGAGCTGCTGAGTTTCTGGAGAGGAGAGAGCGAGGTTAGTATTTTGTGTCAACTGTCAACCCCTAATCCAGTTACTTGTTCATTGTCAAAAGACAATAAGGTGGACAATAAAGCAACTATTTATTTACCTGCGACATACAATGCTGAGGCACTGCTGTTGCTATAAATGGAAATCTCATCGAAATGTTTGGCAGTGGTTTACTTTAGGCGATTTGTAGCGTTTGACTCAGTGACCTATATATCGGTCGCATCATTGTACTCGAAGGCGCCAATCTGGACGAGTTTGAAAAAAAATGAATCCGGGCGGCGCTCGGCGGTCATCGTTACGATGACTGAAATTGGGGCTAGATGCGATCGGCACGACTTTCATTCATCATTTTAACGCTGCCGAAACTTTCCTGGTCCTTTTTTAAGCGGGGTAGCTGGTTGAATGGTAACGGCTTGGTAGTGGGCGATGGCGCCAAAACCAAACATAAAGACTCAGCTGATGACAGCCGATCATGTTTTTTTGTCCCCCTTCTGTCGCCTAAACGCTGATGTACATATGTTCAGCTTTGTCGGACAGTAGTACATGTTTATTCGTAGCCCCAAGATTCCAAAAGGTCACACACAGAGAGGATCTAATATTTAACATTGAAGTTATTATCCTCAGTGATTCCACCCATGGAAAGACTTTGTTTTTGTTTCTTCCCCCACAGAGGCTGAACATGGGTACGCGTCGGTCCCTCCTCTTAGTCCAGGTTACAATGATAAAAGAAGCAAACAGAAGAACAAGAAGATATCTGCTGGTGGCAATAGGTAAATGCATTATGTAACATAACTGACAAGAGGGTGTGGCTGTTGTCCTTCTGTAGATCTGATAAAGCACCAATGTTAAACACCACCCACAGACACTACTGGGTGAGTTTTTAGGAACAAGTTCAACACTAACCAGCATACCTTCATCTGCAGGTCGGTTCACAACGAGCTTGAGAAAAACAGGTAATGATGAGAAACTTCTTATCGATAACAGAAAATTTTCATGGACTCTTCTATTTCCGGTTTTGGACCCAACTTGTGTTTTTTTTTTTTATTGTGGTGCTGTGCAGGCGAGCTCAGCTGAGGCACTGTCTGGAGCAGCTGAAGAAGCAGGTTCCCCTGTCATCGGACTCCACCAGGAACACCACTCTCAACCTGCTGAGGCAAGCCCAGCTCCACATAAAGGTAGGCCTTAGCGTCACACGCCCGGGCCCCGGAGCCCCCCCCCCTCTCTGGGGTTTTTCTGGGGTCCGGCGGCTCACTCTGGCCTCTGGCCCTGTACGCGGCGCACCAGAAGCTGCAGGAGCAGGACGAGCGCGCCGAGCAGCTGAAGGGGCGCCTGCGCTGGGAGCAGAGAGAGCTGCGCTTTCGGCTGGAGCAGCTGCAGAGGGGCACGGAGAGGATGAGGAACAACAGCCAGGGGTCCACCATGTCCTCCGAGAGGTCCGACTCCGACAGAGGTAAGACAACCGGGGCGCCCCGCCTCAGCCCCCTCCCCCTCAAAGCCAAGCTTACTGGACCAGTTAGGCCATTTTTTAAAAGTTACTTCTGCTGCTAGCTTTCAAGTTTCACATCCGTGTGAGAAGGATGTTTGCTCACGCGTTGGCTGTGTGGCTGGTTCCATCACAGAGGACGTGGAGGTGGACGTGGAGAGCATCGTGTTCGACTGCGTGGTCTCTGACGGACTGAGCATGGCGCACGCTGACGCTGACCACTGTTACTCCAGCCTGGAGAGGGCCTGGCTATGACGGCGGCAGACCCGCGGGGTCTGCCAGGACCAGGAGGAGAGGAGAAAACATTCCAAAAACAAGAGGACGCGGGACGAGGGAGAAAGATACTGTACAACTGAACACTTTTTTTAATGACTACATTTTGGCTTTCTCTTTTCCAAACGGCTAAATGCTAAACAGGAGCGAGATGTGTCCGTTTGCACTGAACAGCAGTTAAAATCAAGGAGTGAACAAGCGTATGTGTTCCGACGGCGGGGGCGTGTGTTCCCCACACACACACACACACTCATCTGCTACAGCCCGTCTGTACTGAATTCTGCCTTAAAATTGGATTTTGTCGAGTATTCTTCACAGCTTTGTCTCAGCATTATGCTTCTATTTCAGTGATGTCACATTTAGCATGCACTTACACATTAATCCGTGCTCTGTTTTGTATTACTGTGCCATTATATGAGTTCAGTCATGTATTTAGCTCTTTTTCTTCTGTTGCACATAACGTCCACACGTTGCACTTGTTTCGTCTCGAAAGGATTAGGAGTCGGTCCAGAGGAAAGCGGCTAACATCACTTAAGGGGCCACGTTTGCACATTGATATTTGGCAGTGAAGTAAGACCGCCAAATGTTAATTTGATGTATAAATGCACAACTGAGAGGAAGATTTGTCACCTTTCTTCCAGCTAAGTTGTGTGAGCATTAAGTCAGTTTCATGCACTGCTGGTTTTAACGGATGTTACTGAGTGTGGGTCATCACAATTGGTTTTGCTTGTGTATTTTAAGTGTTGAATATGCATACAAATTCTCTAGTCAGGCAGGTAAAAATCAACTTGTAATGATTATGCAAAAAATGATTGTTTTTCATTGTTGTTTTTAGCAAGTACCTATTTAAAACCTGAAGGTGCTCTCCTACATCCTTTTTGTATATGCAAGATGCCTTATACTTGTTTATCCATATCTCCGCCCAGTAATATTATGTAGCATTTTTGTACTGGTGTAAGCTTCCCTTTTTTCCTTTTTAAACAAATAAATATTTTCTTTATTTATGTGCCATTTTTAATTATTGTTATCTGATATACAGCATCTGAAAAAAGGAACTTTTGAATTTGATTTCCATGATTGACTTTTTGAAACCCTCTGTAACAGTAATAAGCCAAATTAACAATGACAAGAAACACAGCACAGCATGCATTTTTGATTAGAAAATATTTATTGGCAAGCTGAAATTCTGACAGAGTAAGAACTTACTGCTTAGGTTGTATGGCATGTACAGGGTAAGGAAGACTATTATCTCCAGCCTTCACAATGTCAACTGCCGAAGTTTTTTCTATTCGATTTCGAACCATATGAAACATTCTTAAGCTGATGCTCATCAGCTGAAACAAGATGATCAGTCTTAGTAAAACATGATATGGTTGGGGTGAAGCAGATCAACAAAAACAAGACGACACTGAAACGACACACAGCGGAATCAAACAAAAACAATCAAATCTTTTAAGTAATGCTGATGCTGGATTGTAAGAGACAGGTGAATGAGAACAAGACGAACGGAGCAAACGTCTGTGGGCACAGAGGTTTAAGGAACACTTCCAGTGTAGGCCATCACACTCATTTCCAGGACTTCTGTGGTAAAGACTGAAATGATGTGGCAGCAGAGGTATAGGAAACACGTGACATGATGGGGGAGGCTGCATCGGGCCCGTGAGCACAGCTCAGGCCTTTCACGGTCCGCCCATAGTTTCAGTCGGATGCACCCTCGGAGGTGTTCGGCCATGCCTGAGATCGGTTAGTTTAGACGAAGTGCTTGCGTGACCAATGAGAAGGTGTGAGAGGAAACCTGTCCCGGGATTGGTGGCGACGGAGCTGTGCTGCTTCTCATACGAATTGTTTCTTTTGGGCGTGTGTGGCGAGGTCCTTTGCTTTCTCCTTAGCTGCCAGGGCTGTCTCTCTTGCCCGCTCTGTTGCAGTTTCTGCCAAAGTTCTTGATGGAGTTTCACCTACAGGAGAACAAAGTACTGCTGAAAACACCCTGTATTGTTACCACGTTCTCAAAGACATTAATACCGTAAAAAATAACATCTACACTTTATGGAATGAGTTGTGTAACTTGAATCTCGGGATGGAAACATGACTACACTACTTAATATGCAGGGAAAGTAAGTTTCACCCTCTCTGTGACACTCCACAACAAATGGGGGATAAAGTAGAGTCCTGTTGAATTGGAAATTAACTTTTCCATCCAGCACTTCTGTTGATGTAAACTTTCATTTCCAGGTAGCATCAGAGCATCTTTTCTTAAACAGGAAAGGAGCTAATGTGTACATTTAGACAGAAACAGGTCCGGAATAGCCATTTTTACCATGCATTTTTGCCAGTATGTACTCGAAGCCTTTCATCGTCTTTGTGACGCTGGTCTTGAATCTTGCCAGACCAAATTCCTGGAAGCACAACAAAGAAGAGGAGTGTGTGAAAAAAACTGACTCGCATGAAACATACAGAGTTTCGGAGCCTGACAGAAGTTTAAAAAAAGCCCTCTGCCATAAATCATTCAAGTCCTGGCCGGCAGACACCTTCAACTGCTCAGCTGTTGCATCCTGACTCTGTGTGTTGTGTTACTAATGTTACTGAATGAAAGACAGGCGTGCGAGTCTTTCCAAAATCTCCACACTACTTTCTCTGGGCTGCTCCACCTTACTGACCTGAACAGCTCTGGTAAGCCCATAGACATTGGAAGATATCCAGGCTTCTCTTGTGATCTCTGTCCAGCCGCCGTTTTCAGGGTTAACATGGTAGTGACACCTCTCCTCCACAGACTGACAAATGACACAAAACAAACACAACATGAAGCCATGTTGCGTTTTGGTTCCTCTTTGCGGCTCTTTCTGTTTAAGGAGGAAAACCCGAGGGTACCATGAGGCGAGCATGGCTGATGTTCCACGTGAGAGTCGTCATGGTCCTTTTCTGAGGGTCTACGATGGAATCCTCGATGATGTACGCCGAGCTGGACATCTGCTTTGGGAGGTAGCGTTCCATCCAGCGCGGTGCGCGGCTCGTTTTGGTCAACAGACGCCTGGAGATGAGGCAGTTGGCGGGCGTCACCTCCCGGAAGATGATATCCTCCGTCAAGACGTGATTACTGCGAACGGACATAGGATAGAAATAAAGACCGTTTTACGCAAGCAGCAGGTCCTGACCAGCAGATGTTTCTTTCTTGACAGTTAAAAAAAGGCAGAAAGAAATATGGCATGCTACCTTCTAAACCAACAACCTGGAAAAGTTATTCAAGAACAAATGCAATCAAATCATTCTAGTTAATTTTTGCTACAAATGTTTTTGCCACGGCTGATGTGACAAAAAAAGAGAAAAAAGTATGAAGATCCCTAAAAAGCTTATGCAGCATACTCCCTCACACAGCAGCAAATGATCCAAAATGTAGATTCCATTTGCTGTTTTCATTTATTTTTTTCTCCGTCAAATTTTTTACTTGACTTTAAAGTTATTTTTAACTTTCACTTTTGAATAAAACTGTGTAAGCTAGATCATCCTGGGGGCTGAGCCAAGGCAACTGGATGACTTATTGGATCCTTTACTTAAGATGTTGGGATTACTATGACCTGGATGATTGTCATCCCCACCTCCCTCAGCCTGTGTTGTCAACATATTAATCCCATTTGAAACTCGACAATGTTCCTCAGGAAAAAGTTTTTGCTTGATTACGGAAATGAACAAAACAATATAAGTAACATGTTGTCCTTTTTGTACTAGCTGTAAATTACTCCTCAATAACTGCATTAGCATTTTTATGTACATTCCCTGTGGTCTCTTCTCTTAAAAACATATCTGTGGAAGTACATAATGCGAGTCGATCCCAATAGATAGGAAATGGTATGCTTGCCCAACATGGGCTGCACGTGCAGATACAAAACATCCAAGCTGCTTATAACTGGGGAAAATGGAGTCGGCTGAATTAGGTTACAGGTCACCTGTAGGGGTTGGGATACCGCTGCCAGAAAGCAATGCAAACTTGGTCCCAGGTGCTTTTCAGCAATCCTGCGTAGCAAAAATACTTCACCATTGTTCCCTTGGTTTACTCAGGCAGTAATCTGCGGAGACACAGAACAAATCAAATTTGTATCTTGGCCAGTATTGTACAAGAAGTGGTCGGCAGACAGGAATTAATTTTCCCAGCAGGCACTGACACCTCACACTCTGACCTCATACAGGGTCCAAGTTAGGAAGGCTTAACATCTGGCGTTTACATTATTTAGAGTGTCAACAAAATAAACTAAATGTCAGCATACATTTAGAAACGAATACTGGCCACTCAAACATGTCTTATTAATCTTCCTAGCTAGCACAAGAATACAAGTAGCTTTTTTAAAGGAGAGGCATTAAAGTTTACTAGCAAGCATATTTTGCTGTGACTACCAATGGACTACACACATATATCTAGAGGCTGACGTGAGTTAACGGTCTATGTCACATTCGTCACGTACTCACTACTTAGCTTCCTGTTTAGCACGAGCTAGCCTCGTCGAGGCTAATCTCGCCAATGAATGATATTCAGGCCCCGGAAATGTCCTCCAACAAAAATACAAAAATTAATATTTGACATAATTAATAAGCAGCGAGGTTTACCTGCGGGGCGAGCCAAGTCAAAAGGTCAGGATAAACATTTCATGCTCGCGTCGGGATGATCTTCATCTCTCAGCTAACGATACAGCCTGTCAAACGGGAGCGTGCCGAGCGGGGCGGGTGGGAAGGTCAAACATGACGACTTCCGGTTGGTGGTCGCCTGCGTTTCCCGCTTTAGACACTAGAGGGCAGCAGAGGACTCTGTAAGTTGCCGTAAATTGCCAAAAAGGTAAAAAGGATTCCCCAATTTATTGCGTTGGAAAATGTAAAAGATAGATAGGTAGACAGACAGATAGATAGATAGATAGATAGATAGATAGATAGATAGATAGATAGA